GATGGATGGATGGATGGATGGATGGATGGATGGATGGATGGATGGATGGATGGATGGATGGATGGATGGATGGATGGATGGATGGATGGAAAGAAAAACTGTTTCTTCGGTGTTTCCAGGACCAGTCTTCTTAATTCATTGGGTCGAAAATCTGCTGTCAAGATTCACGGATCATCCGATTTCGACTTAGCAAGTCTTGGCGACTCCCCCAATCGACCACGAAGCCTCGAATTCGATGAAGTTTGAAGCCCAAGGCTTTTATCTGCAGCGTGCTACAAGCGACCTCCCCAATTCTGTGGATCCATATCTTAAACCATCTTGAACCAACCAGTCTAGAAATGTGTCACCCCTCAAAAAAAACCAACAATGACGAAGGTGAACCCGCCAGTCTCCTTATCAAGATGCATTGGATCATATTGGATCCACCAACGCCAACCTGCAGGATCACCTGCCGTCCCCCCGCAGTCCCAGAAACACCGAGAAAGTCCATCTGCGGCCGCGAGGAGACGTACTCCACAATGTCCTGGAACAGGCGATGATGAGACGCTTCGGAACCGGTTTTTTCCCCAAGCCAGCCCCAACCACAAACTGAATTATGTATGTAAGGGGTTTGATTTGTTGGGGCGATTCATTATATTAGTTTGGAAAACTAAGAACATGTTCCCTTGTTAACCTGACACCCGAAAAATATGTAACCTATTATTTCATCAAATCGGGACCATTGCCCAACAAACTTTGGGATTCTTATGGAACCCTTGGCAAACCCTGCCGGATCCCTTCCAACCATGAGGGATCCTCAGGCTTAAACAGGGTAACGGGTGAAATCCTAGATGACTTCATCCCGGGTCTCAGAGGAGACAGGGCCACACTTTCTCCAAACACAAGCACCACACACTTATAGAAGAAAGCTCGCAAGCATCAACCAGCGGTCTTCCGGAGTGCATTAGACTGTTATACTACTGCAGTAGGTTTTGGCTGAGGAACTGTAGGGTCAAGAGTCGTGTGAGACAAGAAAACTGCAGAAGTAATAGAATGGAAGCACGGCCACGGCGTTGAACCACGCGTTGAACAACACGCTGGTTTGCGGGTGCGCATCAAGGGGGACGGACGCCTTGATTATGCTTCCCCTGTCACATCGCAGCTTCCAGGTTAGATGTGGCAGGGTTTAAGAGTCTTTTTTTAAACAAATTGACTGATTTCACCAACCGTGCAAAAATGAGGAGACTGTGTGAAATTGCGATCCCTTAGAAGCAGGGGTTGGCACACACGCACACACGCACACACACCACACACACGGTCCTGGAAGCTGGCATGTTCCGCGCTACCATCCTGGGACTTCGAGCCCTTCCCACGACTTCATCTCTGTCCCATGCAATCCAAGTGCTCCGTTCTCTGGGACGTCCTTTTCTCCTTGTGTCCTATAGGATCCTACCTGGTCCAGGTCCTTGGGCCCCTCAGGGTGAACTCTTGGGGCCGGGTGCGGGGCCGGGTTAGGTCATGGTAGGTCTATGAAGCTGAAATGCTCTGCATTGCTCTGCCGAGAAAGACACCGATGTCAAGAATCCTGTCGACAAACCTCCATGGGTCCATCGTGGAAACCGTTGTTCGGGGTAAAACATCCATGGGTAAATTCCGTGTATCCCGTCTTTGAAGCGATTTGGCCAAAACTCTCCACCAACTTGGACGTGATGCGGCCAGACTCTCGTCGGGACATGTCCCTCTTGAACAGCCCCAGGGTCCGGGTCGACTTGTGTATTCATGAGACCTCCCAGGTAACTAACCCTAAGGAAGAAGGACTGTGCTGTCTACTAGCGATGGCCTCCAAACCTAAGAGCGATGGCCTCCATCTCTACTAGCGATGGTTTCTCCCCGCATCCGTCGGTCTTTCTGACTTCACTCGTCGGTCTTGTCGATGCAAACAGCCCGCGTACGGGGGTTTTGGCAAGCTCAACCGTGCGGAGCGTTTTCAGGGGGTACGGCGGGTAGGGTGATCTGAGTCATCGCAGGAAAAAAAGGACCTACTTTGTCGATGACTCAGCCAGGGCCACGGGCGGCGAGCGGGTCGCGCAGACGTCCGAGTTGAACTCACAAAAAAATGACCCACTAGCCATTCTTAAAAATTACTGATGAATCACACCCCCAAAGCATGGATTGCCAAACCTGTGAAGAGGCTTGGGGTGTTGAAATATCATTCAAGAGTCTACATGAATCAGTGAGGACTCGTTCATCTTCTTTCATCCGCCCAGTCTGACACTATACCAAGCGGCCTTCCGTGCATCAACAATGAGCAATTGGCACTTAACACTCAGCGCATCCATCAGCCGCGGCGCGTAGCCGCTATCAGCCGTCCAACCAATGCAGAGTTCGCCTACTGGCATGCAGAGTCTTCCACAAAGACATGGTCAAATTCATGTTTAACTGCACGCTGCATCATGTGTATGTGGAGATTTGTTTGAACACTAAAGATCTCAGCTACAATGTCTTTTAGCATCTCTTGGCGTTCTTCACTGTCTTCAGTCTGCGGGCGTTCGGACTAAGACTCGAGGGCGTTCAACAGCGTTGGGCGTTCATTTCCGACACAGGATCCCTTTCAAGCAAACGTCGGGCCTATCTCCAGGCGTGCACCGAAGCAGGTTTCGCTGTGCCGTGAGCGAAAGGAGGTCAACTTCAGGAGGCCCACCTTCTTCACCGGTGCACGGGAGTGGGTTCCTTTCGGGCGGTTGGTTTGAGCTCAGCTCTTGAGTTCAGCAAATTCAAGAGCTCATGTTGGGGCAAATAACAAATATATAATATTATCCCTCTGAGGAGATTAAACAAAAAACAGAAAAGATGGGTATGTTGGGTCCAAGTTCTCGAAGACATTGATCCATCATGATCCATCTATCCTGATCTTTAAGGGGCGCTAGAATCTGGAACTGCGCTTGTGACTGCTGGCGACACCGCTCATCTGGTCCATGGGTCGAACGAAAAAAGATCATTCATTCGGTCTCACGAAGCGAAGCACTGGTGTGATTCCTTGACTTCTTGATTCATATCACTCCTATACCAAACCCTATCTCCCCAAAATCAGCGCTCACGGCTTTTGGCGACGACTCCAAGGGGTGGTGCCAGGCTGGGAGCACCTCAGACCTGGCACCAACCCTGGTCCCCTAAACAACCATCCATTGGGATGGTGCAATGACTCCTAAGGCTTCGCATTGCTTCGCGCCTTTCACCACAGCTCCCATCTGGGGCGGGTGGGCAGGGTGCAAGAAAAGTTGCGGCTCCTGAGCAAAGAACACCTAATCAGACGAAAAAGACCACCTGAACTCAAGGAACAACATGTTCAACTGGAAGGGGATTGGGGTGTGGAGTGATTCCCTTATGCAGAGTATCCCTGCAACGTTCCCGAAAGTAAATCTTTGGCAAAGCACCTGGCTGAAGCTTCCACGCATTTAATATCACTCAATCATTTCGATTTCGCTGAGACTTCCAGATTCAGCGTGCGGAGCTTCAGGCCAGTGAGATGTCGACAACCACCCCGGGTATGGAAAAAAACATCGTGCCAACCACCTCAACCACCTTCCGCGGAAAGCGGGCGCGCTTCACTGCTCCGCTCACCTGGGTGTCCACTTGCAGAGTCTCCTCCTCTGGTGTTGGAGTCCAGGTCGCCAACTGGTCCAGATGCAAGCCGGAGCTCTCGAGCTCGTGCATCCGATATGTTTGAAGCCTGGCAGCGGGACGGAGAGGGCTAAAACGGAGGTGGATTTGGTGACTCCAACCGGGGAGACACACACACACAACTCGCCCAAGGTGGTTTCAAGCAGATCAGATTGATCAGATACATCATTTCCACATGTTCGACTCAGAATGGGTGACTCAGACGGACCTTGCAAAAGAAGCAAGAAGACCTTATCAGTTTTCATGCTAACTCCATCATAAAACGATTTAAGAAGCCATCCGCAGGAGGCCCTGTGAAAGGAAATGCTTCTCCAAAAGGCCTGCTGAGCACCTCCGGTGCCGCCAGCACTTGCATGCGCCGCTTCCGCTGAACTCCTCTGCGGAGTTCGGATGGGTTCGGTAGAGAAGAACAGGCGAGCACGAGGCGAACTCATTCGAAGAGGAATGAAGAAGGAACCCCGTACTGCTATTTAGCTGCTATCAAACCACACCAGGACCAGGAATCTAAGAAGAACTCCGCTCCTGGCGATAGCCAAGTAGAGGTGTGAATCTACACTCCCTGGATCCTCTGAGAAGCATTTGTTGCTACGAGTAGATTTTTGTGCAAAGGCTTCTTGGATGAAACTTGGATGCTACAAAAATGCCTCCAGTCCTGGAGGTTGCTTCAAGCATAAAAGAATGATACATAATATGATATAATATGATACCAATATACTACAATATACCAACTCTACTTCGGCCTGCAGTAGATGGCACGAACTCAAGATTATTTACAAGTATCTGAACCCGCTGGTCACCTGCTCGAGGATCAGGTGTGTGCCATTTGCCAAAATTTCTTCGACTTCGGCGGCCGTTTGCGCACGCCTTCGACAGCGAGAACCACAGGCAGCTCACCAGCATGGTCGCTGTGATTGTGACTGATGAAGATGGTGCAAGGGATCTCTCCTGTGATGGTGAAATAACATCGAGCACCATCCAACCATTGTAGAAGAAAAAAAGACACTGGGGCCTTAGTCCTTTTCTTTTTTCGAGCCCTTGCCAATTCCTGCGAAGGGATTTCTATGTCCAAATGTAAAAGAAGACTGACTAGAAAGGGCCGCAAACATTGACAAACACTTGAGGATCCAGTTGCCTTTCTCTCTGTGATGTTCCTGGTTTCAATGGTTTTTGGTGTCAGAGCAGAACGGCATTGAGCCTTGGACCTTGTTCTGGCGATGTTCACCAAACAAACCAATCGAAGCAAAGGCCTACGCCGCGCGATCTTCCTACATAACAGATCACAAGGGCCAAGCCTCAGCCTGAGGACCCAAGTAAGAAGACAACTAGAAGACAAACCCCCAAAAAAAACACCTACCATTCTGTCCAAGAGAAACAAGAGGTCAAATGTATTTGGCATGCACTTCCTCCCCGACTCAGAAGCACAGCCAGAACCCTTTTGAAGCTGCACAGCCAAAAGTGCTTCGGACATCACAAGCTCACCGCACCTAGGTGCTGCATGGCTGACCTGCAAACCCCAATGCCCAGGTCGGCCAAAAAGAAGGCTTTCCTGCGGGCAGTCGTCGACCGGCTGGCTCACCCAGGTCGACCAAAGGCTCGATCGACTGAGTCGTCGACTGAGTCCCAAATTGGACGACTTGGAAGAGCAAACACGACTGACCCCCCCTTGGCTCCGAAAGAATCTGGATCTTCCAAGGTCAAACAGGATGTGTTGTGGATAACAACGCTCCAAACAATGGCCACCACTACTCACCCCCGTCATATCCCCTCGTGTTAAAAAAGAACATCACATGAGCTATGCTTCAACATGACCCTATTATTCAATCCTGGTACTGTACTATACAGCAATAAGTCGCGAACCATCATGAACCCATCCTTCTCCGTATCAACGCGCGTCCGTCCAACAATCCAGAAGTGTGCAGCCTTGTGCCATCCCATTTCCCGCATGCATGGGCTCTGGGTCATGGTGCCGGCGGACCCTGGTTGACCACTGGTATTTCCCACCGAACATGGAACAGAATAAACTACCAGAGAGGTTAACCAAGGTCAACCTACCAATTCATAGGCTTCCGGGTGTGCTTCCGCCACATCGTGTGCTTCAATTCGCCGGGTCCGTGCGGGGCGTCGGAATAGGGACCGTCGGTCCCGTTCATGGTGAGTGCCCAACTGCTGCTGGCTTCATCATCATAGATCGCTGTCTTCCCTGCTCCGCAGCCCAGGCAGCGCAGAGTCACGGGGTTCTCTGCGTCCATGGCGAGATGAAGAGAGCATGGGGCGAGATGGGAGATACCGCTTTGATCGAGTGGTTCATAGGCTCCTTGGGGCAGGTGATGAGATGAGGTGATATTTTGTTTCAGTCGATGGTGCAATCCGGAAGATGGGTTTTGGTGATTCGTGGACCGTGATTCATGTGGTTGGTAGACTTCTGATCTGAGGATGAAGATCACAAGGCAAGGAAAGATTCAAGATATCGGATATCGAACTATATCGATTTGCACCTCTTTGGCAGGTTCGGGTTCCCCCTCCATGAGGGGGGGATGACCCTTGAAATATTCTTTGCTCTAACAGTCAGTTCGTCTGGGATCGGATTGTGGGATCAATCCTTGATGTTTGATGGTGATTTCACCGGTGTTCAAAACCACAGGCTCCGCAGTGGTGGAACTCATTGAGCTGACTCACATGCACAGAGGAGCATCGTGTTTCAAACATAATGTAGACTCTTGATTTATAAACCCCCCCATATATGAAGAGGATTTCCCAACAGCAGCATGACTGTTGGGTTTCAACAATCAAGAGTCTACATTAAATCTCTTGAGCATCTCAGATTTCTTGAGACATCTCATCTTTTGTCCATCCCCTGTTTTTTGGGCCATCCACTGGCAGGAGAATCGGCAGAATCGGCTTCTGTCTGTAAAAACATACGCTGCCCGTGGTGCTGAGGATGCGAGGAATGCGCTGTCACGGATACGAGGACGGATGGTCCCGAGATGGTTCCAAGCTACCAGGTTCCTTTTTTCTGCATGCTTGCTGCTTGCTTCCAGCACCCAGGGTGCAGATGTCCAGACCACAGATGGGCCCAGGCTGCCCAGGTTGCAGATGGGCATCATCTGATCCACGACGGTGGCTTCTGATGGCTTCTGATCTGTTGGTGTTGGACTTTCCCCACTCCTCATGATTCCTCCTCAGGCCCTTCACCCTCCTGTGGAGGTGAATGGCTCAAGTCGCAGCACTGATAGCAAGAACCGCAAACGGAACACCAACAGCCACCTTTGCAACAATCACTACAGAAGTATGCACAGTCATTCTCTTCCCCACAGTATGTGCAACAACGCAAGGTCTCCTTAGCTGCTTCAGTATCACAGCCGGCACAACAAAACTTCCTCTTGCGCTTCTTTTTGGTCTTCGGCTTTCGCAAAGCAGCCTCCCGAGCAGCTTGAAGAGAGGGTGGCAGAGTCTTAAGGAGGTAATCTGGAAAGGAAATGAAGCTTCCGGTGACCAAATAGGCAGAGTGTGAAGGACCTCCAATGCCAGTCTTCATAGATTTCCAGGCATTCTTCCATTGATCTCGAGGTAGCGACTTTAGACAATCCTCCAACCATTGCTTTAAAGATCGCAAATAGTCACCAAGGGATTTGGAAACAATGATCTCTTTCAAATCGTTGAGCGGCACCATGCTCACAGCACCACCCGGTATCAAATCCACCGTATACTGCGGCCCAACGAAGAGATGTCCACAACTCAAGCGCTGCTCCCAGTTCTCGGGCGGATCCGTTTCCACCGAGTAGTCCGCTCCAGTGAACTGAAGACTCAAATAGGTCAAGCCAGAGCTTTCAGCACTGGGTGTCCTTGGAAGACTCCGATCCTCTCCGTTGTCTTGGGCATCAAGAAGACATGATTGGTTTGATCAATTGATCATAGCATGACTTGCAAAACGAAACTTTGGAGATTGGATCCGGTTTGTCAGGGTGTGGGTGTGTGTTCGTTTGTGTCCGTTTGCTGACAGAATGTGCAGGAGAAGAACACATAGTGTACCTAAATGTTGGGGAAGCCAATGAACGCTTGGAAGAATATACTGTATCCCCTCTGTCCTCTTAAAGGACTTCATGGGTCATGGACTTCAAAGTTGAATTCAGAGCTTCTTCGTTCAAAGAAAGCTCAGTCCGAGCATCTGGGCGTGCAGATTGAAGCTTAGCTCGCCATACATCCCTAGCAAGGAGACCACTCTCCAAGCAAAGCGATGATCCTGCGCTTTTCGCACAAAGGTAAGCAACGAATGGCTCTGGGTCAAAACCAGAACACTTTGGTTGACCTACCTGGGAGGTCAAGCTACATGCTGGTGGGGCTCCAGGTGTTTGACCAATAAACATTAAAGTTACAGTAAATTGAACCTTAGTGTCATTGTATGGGTTCATGACCTCATGCTTGGATTCATGACCTCCCCGTCCTCCTCACGGTCCCCGGTCCTCTCGTCAGTCCCGTCCCCGTCCTCTTCCAGGAGCCACTCGGGCACCGAAGCTCGAAGCCTTCCGAAGGACCGGTTTCGACCGGTTTCGATGAGACCCGTTTTCGTTCAACACCTTAATTATATTAGCTCACCCAACACAGACGGAGACTAATCAGACAACCCCGAAAAGAAAGCTTGGGACGTTGATCTGGCAAAACGATGTTTTCCACCCGCAAGCCGCATCGCAAGAACCCCCACGTCGCAAGGCGCGGAAGAGAACCCTCAATCTCGTCGACGTCGTTGAGCCTTTGAAAGTCATCTTCAGGAGTCACCCATCCAGGATTCGAAAAGCTTTGTGCCTCGCAAACTTCTTGCAGCCAGGACCAAAGCTCTTCCTCTTCCTCCATGGGGACGACGTCTTGCGTCTTGCAAGTTCTCCAAACGAAGGCGCCGCGGCGTGGGCAGAAGATGGCGGAAGTGAATGAAAGAAAAAGATGGTGAGTTGACTCGGTTTGTTGGACTCAGCTGAACTGCTTTGGGCAAGTGGAAATTCCTGCGGGACAAAGACAGCTATTGAGTCTTCTGTGTAGCGGAACCGGAACGGCAGTCACCAAGCATAGCAAAGAGCCTACTCCTTGCCTTGCCCTCCCTGAAAACTTAAATTCCTGGGCCCTACTTGCACCATGCAATCATATTAATTATAGTTATTATATAGACTCCTAGACCCTAAATGACCTCTATTTCGGATCACCAACCCCACCATACCCCCTTTTCCGGATCCTGGACATGTCCACACAGGAGCCTGGCCTTTTCTCCTGCACCCGCACGGCCCCCCCGGCGGTATCCACGGCGCTCTGAGCTGTCGTGCGATCTCGCCTTAACGACGCCGGTCGCGTTCCGCCCCGACGTGACCGGCGGGGGAATCCCCAAGAGATGTTGATGTTTTTTTTGTGGGATCCCCATCATCCCCATCTAAAAGACATTGAAGGTGTTGCGCCATCTACTCAATCTCCTCTGAATCCACTGTAACTCCGATCTGTTTTCTGATGGAGCTGACTTTATCGAACGACCCTGACACTCACTTGGAGTCGTTTTGGGTATGAACTTTGAGGCTTCTCCATGAAAAGTTCCATCCGTCCCAAAACACCGTGATGGACACAGTGATCCATCCGGCGCATCTGGTGGCATTTGAGATCTCAGATGCCAAGAGCCTTTGGAGCCTTTGGAGCCTTCGGTGATCGAGCCTTCGCTTCTCCGTGCCTTCGCCACCACGGCTCCGGATCTTCCCTTTCCGTGGCACCGCCCTGGGGTGCCCCGCACCACCTCGGCCTGCAACTCCGCCAGACTGGTGGCCAATTGCTTGTAATCGGTGACGGTGCCTCACTCATCGCCCCGTTTCGACGCACCGTTTCGTCTGGTTCAGAACCCAAAAGCTAGCAGTCTTTCGAGTCCTTTTTCTCCCAAGACATGGGGGGGAAAAAGGAACCACGACTTTAAGGACGTGACGAATGACCATAGCATTCTTCAAATACCCAGAGACCAAAGTATTTGCATCCTACCTTTCATGGCCTCCCTGGCTTCGACGATCGCGAAGTCACGTGGATTTGCACTTCAAGTAAACTCTCCCTGAAAGTCCAGTCATGACTCATGTTGTCTCTATCACTATTGGATTAAATTATGATTCGCAGGTGGGTGAAATGAGTCAAGTTCTTGGCTTCGCTTGGAGGTCTTTAAAGCATCGGACACCAGCCTGAAACCCGCATGCAGCTGGAGGCTGGATGGGTTTGGGCGCAAGGAGCAAGGAGAAACACATTCATATGCCTGCTAAGCCAATTAAACCTGCATGTGTTTCTTGCAATTGAATTGACAGTACTGTACGACGTACTGCTGTTGTGTTTTTTTCCTTCTTTCCGGTACACGGACCGGAGGCACGGATTTGAATGGATTTGAACTGCCGGCTTTGGGTATGTATTGGAAACGTGGACATTTGCAGGGCATCGCTGAATTCATACAAAGTTGGGTGGAGATGTCCAAATTCTTAAGCGTGCACCAAAAACACCCGTACATGGGGTGAAGAACTTATATACATGTAATTACGCATCCGGTACACATTTGCAACGACATGTGGAGCTTTTCACGGATTGGACGCACAAAAAACCATTCCCAGACACTCCATGCATGGTATATTTACGTAATACATTGACCCCTGAAACCACCCCAATGTAGGCATAATATACCACCACTTTGTAGAAGTATGTACTACAGTGTTACACTTTTTGCACCATCCACTTGCGGTGCGCACCACGTTCTTCAGCTGGCAAATGACTCACCGAGCCCAGCGAAGTTGTTGCGGTCTCGGACGGAACATCATGGAACTGGCTGAAACCGCACCAACTCACCGGGAACAGTCGAGTCGAAACTCTCTGCCTTTTGTGCTCAGCTACTGCAGCAGCCAGCCAGCTGCTTGGTCTGCTGTCGAACTTTTGTTGGCAGCATGACGCCGATGTCTCCCACTTCTACCCGGAAGTGCTTGAAAACTTGTGATGAGTTCACCTCAAATTTCTCAGAAGCTGGTCTCCCACTTGTGCAACCACCTTGTAACGCCCCTGACTCTTCCACATCTTTCAGTGAAAGGTGCAAGAGGCTTCACCAAGATCAACCCGACAAGGCCGCACCCCTGCTACCCTCGTGGTGCCTGTTTCCCCCGGCATCGAACCCTGATCCTTCGCCATGGCACAGCGGAGGGCCACAGCCGCGTCCAAGCCCAGCAAACGCTCCTCTGGCTCGCAGCAACTCCACTATAGCTGGTTGTTTTAAAAACCTCCCTTAAGATCTCTGCGAAAATACAGGGTGCAGGTGCAGTTCTGTATTTCTTGTTGGTCGATAGTACGTATGCTTCAATGGTTCCATCCTCTTTATGGGTGGTGCTCCACTCTGGTTCCTGACCTCTGAGAACCTCATGCACCCCATCGATGCCTCCCTCAAAAATCCGAAAAGCATGGAAAGCCTGGCCAGTCGCAGTGTGAATTGAATGGTATCGGGTGCTCCTGCATGTTCGGTCCATGTCACGATCGCCGAGATGGCAGGTTTTGTTCACCCGTTTTGTGCGGGGTGCAAGACCATGTTCGAATTCGGTGGGTATGGTTGAACATGAACGGTCTTAGCAGCCCCCTGCGCACTAAGATGGAAAAGAGACGGGAAGGGGCCCTATGAGACCCCACTGTTCGCCATGTCTCTTGTAATTCTTGCAAGTGTAGATCCAAAAGACAGCACTCCCTTCCACTGACTCCAAAGCTATTTCTCTGGGACATTTTAAAAGTGAACCGAACATTTCGCCTGTTGGATTTGAGTCTCCTGAGTGATTGGGTGTCCCCAATCCCCCAGCGCAGGTTTTGCAGGTTCTCCATGGTTCTCCACTGTTCCTGGTTAGGTCCACCGAAACAAATCCGTCTCATTGGAACCCAACCACGAACCGCCCTCCGTGGTCGACTGCATGGTCGAATTGGCCGGACCCGGTCTGGAGATGATGCTTGGTGAACATTGGAGACAACTAATAGGGGAAAAGTCTCGACAAAATGATCCCTGAACATCCCAAGTCTCATCAAACTTCCCAACCTCAACATCCAAACGTCTCCTCAAAATTCAGCCTCATCCGAACGGATGTCAAACCCCAAGGCTGCTTTCTCATGCCAGGCTGCTTTCTCATGTGTCTCCCAACACATCCCAACCCGTTCCTTCTTCAAAATACATATGGGAAAACTGCCAACTTCGGCTTCCTTCGCTCCTCATGTGCCAAGAGAGCCGAGCCGTGTTGCTCGGTCGTTCCGTCCAAGGCATTGAGACGTTCCTGCGTCGGCGTCGGCTCGGCTCGACTCTTGAGTCATGAACCACCATCCCTACCCATTCTGGGGGGGGGGACCTGAAAAACCCTCAAATCCATGGTTAAGTGGGGATGAACCACCCAAATATGAAGATTATTAAGCTAGGCATACTGCTGGGCATTTAATATAATACCTTGCTGCAGTCGTAGAAAAGCTGCGGTGGACTTCAGCGACCTGTTCTAAAGTTAAAGTTGATGTTCCAATTCAAACTGGGGGGGTGATTCATCAAGAGATCTACAGTACATTGCTTCCCAAGGTAAGAACTCTTCCTGACGTCTTAGGATTCCGCACTTTTTACCCGCAATTTCGAAGCGAGTGTGAAGCGAGCGAAAGACCGTTTTGTTTCCCTGTGGCTTTTGGGAGGTTCGGTGTGTTTTAGGTGACTCAAGATGACCCATCTGAGGGATGATTTGATCTCAAGCGGCAAGCGGATGGGTTCATCCTGGGTCTGATGTTGTCTTTTGTTCCTAAACAAACCAAAGGCGGGCCAAGCAGCCTTTCAGAGGGAAATGACTGATCAATACTGATCATGAGTGGGAGGATACATGTGGTCCCAGAGTTGGTGCGCCAAAGGAGATGAGTGAATCAGAGTTGGTGGGGTGATCAAAGTCCATCCATCAACCCATCGTGAATTCCAACTTGAAAGACACAAACTTCAACAAAGCCCTACACAAGACCTAACTGTAAAGAACAGCTGGTATTATTTTTACAAACGACAAACATCCCCTTTTGCGATACCTTCCTTCCAATCACCACCCAATGCCTCCCCAAATGGATGGTGCTGCTTTCTCGCTTTCCAAAACCCCCTCCGTCCTTCACCACCCGCAGCACCCCCCCGCCGTGCTTCGGCACCACCCGCCGTGCCGAACGGCACCCGACCCGATCCGCACGGCCTTCGAGGCCATGACATCTTTCCCCAACGAAGCGATCCACCTGAGCCAAGGCGGTCGCGAGGTGGTCGGGCGCCGCTTCCACGACCGGTCTGATACGGTCGACCGGGACGTCGCGTCGATTTGGAGGGGAAGGGGCAGGGTGTCCAAAGAAGTCCCGTGGACAACAGTTGCCCAAGCTTGTTGGGCGGAATTCCCCTTTAAAGTATGTTTTAGGTCTCCTTAATATCAGTGGAGCCTAAAAGCGTGAAGAACAGCAAGTTCGGCACCCCTTTTCGCCCAAGGGACGTCTTGGAGAGATTCTGAAAGGCCTCCAGCTTGCTTTCCAAACTCACCTTGGGCCAAGGGCCCCCCGCAAAGAAGTGCAGCCGTAGGTTCCAGAATGTTCCAGAAACTAAATTTATATAGTTAATAAATTACAGTAATTTCAAGACTCAGGGCTACTGTGCATGCTGCTCTCCAAGTGCATGGTATGTGAGACTGAAAAAGAAGCACATTTCAAATGCTACAAACAAATCAAGCCTCACAGCATGACCCCTTCGTAAGCTGTCTTGCATGAAGTTGCTCCGTACTGTACCAACTACTTGGCCTTATAGAGTGCATCCTGAGATATCATGAGCTTGTCATGGTAGCTTT